AAGTGGCTGGGTTGCATCCTTGTGGCGCATCAGCAGAGCCCAGCCAAGTGGCCTTAACTGACTGGTTTGCATCCTTGTAAACGCATTAGCAGAGCCCAGCCAAGTGGCCTTAACTGAGTGGTTTGCATCCTTGTGGCGCACCAGCAGAGCCCAGCCAAGTGGCCGGCCGCAATTGACTGGTTTGCGTGGCACAGCAGCAGAGCCCAGCCAAGTGGGCTTAACTGACTGGTTCTGGTTTCTTTTTGGGGTCCCTTGAACAAGAGCCGTTTCGCCTGGCTTGGTGGTTTCCTGGTTACTTGCTCTTGGAGGTCTGGTCCTAGCGCAGAGAGGGACGAGCGAACACACAGTCAAGCAGGCGTGCTTATCATCTTGTTGCATCGTAAGGGGGGGTCCAAGCTCCAAGGTTTTTTCTGACCGGTTTCCAGAAAGAATTGTCCTGGAAGTAAAGCCTGGGTGAGTCGGGTCCCCAGCCAAACCATTAGCTCACAAGAGTTGTTCGCATCGTCCCTGCAATTGTCGAGCTCTCCTCGAAAAACTTGGTTGATGCATAGGAGCCTTTTCCTGGCAACCTACTTCGCTGACCTTGACAACTTGGAAACAGTTCACGAACCCGGCCGGTTGATTACAGTGCTGCTGGAGCTGAGTGAACGCAAGGCCCAGAAGTTGTTGCCAGCGGCTTGCGTTGGAATGACAGCCGCCGGTCGTTCACCACGCATGTGAACACCAATCTGCGAACCATCAGCGCCAACTCCAAGATGAACCCGGCCAAGCTGGTGGTGTCCACTGTGCAGCCAGCATGGTAAGTTGGGGCAGAGTTTTCACACGTTTCCGCGATGGAGCAGGGCTGGAGCTGACGTTCAAAGCCAAGCTTGTTCCAGAATGGAGCGTCGTTGGGCGCATGGAGCAACGCCATGCGTTGGCTATCTCGGGAGCATGCTGCGCGCTGGATACGACAGAGATGAAGGCCCTGGATGACCAAGCTACTGCCGGCTCAAACACTGAGGATTTTCTGCCGGGTGACAGAGGTGCGCGCCAAACGAGCACCTTTGCTGACGCTTGCCAATTTGGCGCGGCGTGTGTCTGCGTTGCTAGGCGAGGATGTCCCGACCGTAACGCTACAAGGCGCAGTCTGCAAGTTTATGCAAGTGCTCTCTTGCTTTGCTTGTGGCAAGACCTTTTTGCCGAGCTCGGGAAGAAGATAGCAACCAGAAGTGGCATGATGTCCAGTCTCGGCCGCAAGCTGCTGAGACTGATGCGCGAGTTTCAGCAGAGTAGCGAGACCGCCACAAAATGCTGCGGTGATGGTAAAGTACTTTGAGTGTCCATGCTACGAAAGTTCCTTCGACACTTCCTTTGATTAATGCCAGGTGTTACTTCGATGAACAACATTGATGCTTTTACCCGGCGTCAAGGAGATGGATGGACCCGATGTGTCCTCTTCCCGAAAATGGGGACTTCCTACAGGGACATACATGGACTGATTGTAACTATGTGTTGCTCACATAAGCTACTCAATTTCGCACCTTGCATGAAGGAGACAAGCTTTTGGGGGTTATGCAGACCTGACATGCTTTTTTGCTGTTTGGGGTCGAGGCTGGTGTAATTTGTTTCGTAGAAAGATAGATGGCGATTCCGGGTTGACCTGGTGGTTATATCATCTACCAGGGCCATCGTTTGCTTGTAAAAGGACACCTATGACCAGGAATCGGACCACTGGTTTTTAGCCCACCTTGCAATTTGGCAGGGCAACACATTTTGGGGTGACCGGTTGCCCCACAGCCAGGTGGCGGAGGAACTGCTCCAAAGGAGAACTGGTCTTCGGAGCCCGCGGCAGGCAGTTGGATCAGCTGCACCTCGTCATTGGCTGTGGCTGGTCGGTTTTTCTTTTTTCCTGTGTTTTCTTGGTTGCTTCTACTCCTTCTGTCTGTCTGTCTGTCTGTCTGTTGGTCGGTCGGTCAGTCAGTTAATGTTTGTTTGCTGTGGGGTCTCGGGGGAGTCTTTCGCCCGGCGTTCGGGTTGGTGTCGCAAATGCGCGCTTTCCAGGCCTGGGTGCTTGTAGTTGTTCTGTTGAACTGTTGGCGGTGGGTTTAGCCTGAACCATGTGGAATGTCATGGGAACCCCAGTTGAGTAATAGGGGGGTGTCCCCTGTTGCCAGTTGCTCAGACCGTGGAGGGCCTTTTGTACCTGTAACAAGCTTAATGTCTTCAGTACAGACCGCCTCCCAAGACCGCGTGTCATTCAATTCTTTATCTCTCTAGTCAGGCAGAGGTGCAGGCAGGACGATTGTTCCACTTGTTGGGACCCCCAATCAGGTCCAGGATCCTTCCCTTGTGTCGATCTTGTGATATACCCAATCTGGTCACCTGTCTTTTTTTCTATCACACTGCAAAAACTAATGGTTTTTTTCCAGGATACCGCGTTGAAGGGGGCAGCCCAACGTGACAAAAGATAGCGTTTCGTTGTGACGAAGCGACAGTTTTCTGAAACATCTCCAAACCAACACTTTGTTTGTTGGCAGAACCCATGGTCCTCCCGTCCGGGGCAGCATCTTTTCTTCCTCGCGGATTTTCCCAGATCCCACCTTTCTTGCGTGCCTCTTCAGGAGTCTTCCTGACTCAAGTCTCTGCTTGGCGGCGTTTCATGCCGCCACCGCCACGACAGCGCGACCAGCTCGTTGGTCTCAAAGCATGCGTGACGAAGGCAAAGCCGCCCATGTGGCTAGAAGCGATCGGGATGAAGAGAAGCCCAGGTGGCCGCCAAAGGATCCGCAGGCAGAAAGGAAGTGGTCAACGAGTCCAAATCATCTGCGGATTTCGCCAAAATGCAGAGAGCAGCGGACAGAGAGGCTGTGCGGCAGAAAGATGCAACAACATGGAAACTGAAAGACTTAGAGGGACAGTGAGGCCGTCGTGTGCAACACACGCTGCTAGCGCGACGCACTGACCCCCGCCCCACCTCCATGCCCCCCACCCTTCTCTGATGCCTCCAGCAGCATGAAGCTGGAATAAGGAGAGCGGCAGTCCCGCTGCTTTAGCGGCGCCGCCACCAAAACACAATGACAACAACAGCGTCCACCGTTCTTTTGTTTGAACTCACCTTAATTCATGAGACGCTTGACCAAGCAAGTGAGTAAGCAGCTGGTGATTCCAAAAAGAGCACCCAGTTTCCGTCTAGCTCCATCTTTTTCTTTTGGAAGTTGCATTCTTTGGGGCTCTTCTCAAGCTTGCCCTAGAACGTGGATGCGCAGAGGCAGGGCTTTGTTTGGCATGATCCAGATCTTTTTCTGAGGGATCCTGAGGCATTCTCTTTTCTGCAACATCCGAAGAACTTCCACAACTACATCATGTCAGCATCGGGAAAAAGCAGCACGGCATGGCGACTTCCCTGTGGTTGCAAAGGCCAGAGTTTTCTGCCCACAGGGTTCTACCGCAAGGGGATTCCCTTAAAGGAAACCACCGGTTGGATGGCTGCCTCTCGCGCCAGCAAGTTGAGCCTTCCTGAGGAACAAACCCACGGCCTTGGCCTTTCTCCGCCCCGGGCGCCGGCTTTTGATCGCGGACTCTGGGAACCACAGAGTGCTCTCTGTGAACTTGTGACCGACGGCAGGTCTCTGACCGTCGCAGAGTACCATATAGGATGTGTTTCTTCGACACCTCCGATTGGTGATGGTGTGTCCCTTTATGGTTATCATGTTTGCTGAAGTAGTCATAGTTGCAGATTTATGATGCTCCATGTTCAATCGCCAGGGTTTATGTGTATGTTTTGTTTCCCCTGCGTTTTATCGTCTTCAACGCAGCCTCCCATCCGGCGGCCTGGATCGGCTCCTGCCCATGGCAAGTCGCTGTCCTAGTTGCCGAAGGATCTAGTGGTAAAGTGTCGATTCCTTGGAGGTGAAAGGCGGAGGGTGGAACAATCCCCCCCCACATTTGTTGCAAGCAAAAGGCCACCACAGCAAAGCCCCCAGTTCTTTGCAGAGGTTCCCCATCAGCCGCTCAACGAAAATGAGCCAGGGAGGGACAGCTTTCGGCCATTTCAATCGCTGATATTGGCTCTGCGATTGGTTCAGCGGTGCTACATGTCCAGCAAGAGATGGGCAGTGTTCTGGGCCATACTATCAAAACGCAGGGGTGTCCACACACTTGAAGGACATTGCAGAAGTTGCAGTCGCCCAGCTTCCAGGTAGGCATCGGGTCACTTGCCTTTGCATTCCCTGCAAGTTGTTGCAATTCCTTGTGGCGAAGCAGGCTGTACGTCATCGACTCCCAATGGCTGTTGGTTAAACTCGCCCCTTACGCCTCTGGCCATGTGCCGGGATCGACCTGCCGAAACCTCTGTTGGCCATCCAAGGGCCATGTACACATAGAGCCAGTTGAACCCTGGCGGATCGTGAGGCAGAACGGATGTGCTGGGCCTGGCTCGCAAGTTACTAGGGCAACGTGCACAGAGGGCCAAGGCCAAGGACCTAAGGAGAAGATAGATCGATGTGCTGTCCTTACTTCATTTGCACATGGAGGCTAAAGCTCCATTTCACGTTTGCCCTTAGCCTGAATCCGTTTTGCCCTGCTGGTTCAGCCTAGGGGGCCTCTGGGCCCGTATCCCGAGTTTACCACCGGGGATTGTCGTGGCTAGTCAGAAAGTCATCGAGCCGCTCGCACGCTGCCCGTGCTGAATAAACATGCCAGAGCCAAGCAACTGAATGGCCCGGGTGCTATTCAAGTCGGAGTTGACGACTTGTGAAATCGTCCTCGGGCAGTGTTTGCTTTGTTTGTTGTTCAAAGGAGTGCTGCATGTAGGGCGTTCGCAACTGTTTGTTGCGACGCGCAGCACTTTCGCACATTTCGCAATTGCGGTCACCCTTCGGCCCTTGCTCGAGGGAATGAATGTTGGACTTTCTCAAAGCTGGACGCCCTATGACCACGCGGGCGGGTGTTGGCAACGTTACATTGCCAGCTTTATGCGAAGACGCGAGCTGTGGGATGGTGGGAACCCAAGTGCCTAGGCCCTTTGTACTACCTCCTGATGCTGCTGGCCATCCTCCTTTCCGCAGCCCGGTTTGATTGGAGGCCTCGGCAGGCGGTGTTTCTTTCGGATTCCCGGCATCGGTGTGCTCGAAGACTGCATTAGTTGATGGCCGTGACGTGCCTAGCGATGGTTCGGCGCTGCGGAGTTCGCGCCGGTTTTCTGATTTTTCTAGGGGCTCCACACACACACACATGCCTCCCGAGTTCTGCTTGGCCTGCAAGATGTTTTGGCCATCGTGGCTCAGAGTATCGCCTCTCGCAATCCAGATAGGCTTGGGATGAGGGTTGGGGCCCCATGCATGCAAAAACAAAGCAAACAAATTGACGCATTGGACTGCGTCTCATCTCCCTTTGCGGTTTCTTTTTGGGGCTGATTGGAAGACCGTTTTGAGTGGGGCTGAAATTCCATCATCTGTCAGTGGTCCAGGTGCAGCCCAGTCATAGTCCTTGGGCTGCAAAGCCCGAGCAGTTCATTGAAGCTTCGCCGAAGATGGCACCGCTGCTGGCCCTTGATCTCATAAACTGCTTCCCTAAGCCATGGGTTGCTAGGACCCTTGGCTCCATGGCCAGGCTGCAGCGACACCTTAGGTCGCCCTGGTGGTGCGCTTCTTCTGGGAGATTCACTCCTTTCGCAAGCTCATCGCCCAGAAGAGCCAGGCGACAGGTGCCTCGTTTCGGACCGCGCTGGGGGAGTGGTGGCCTTTGGCTCCAAGTACTTAGGTCGTTGAACCCCCCGCCCCCCGAAGGCAGCCCAACGTGGCGAGGTTTGAAACGGGCCCCTTGTTACCAACAAGCTCAATGCTTGCGTGAGCATGGCCTAGATTGCCTGGCCTTGGTTGTCGGATAAAAACGGACGACTGATGTGGAAACAGGGCTAGAAGACAAGAAAGGACACACCCACACGCGTACCACTGCTTGGATCCCATGTGGGGGAGGCATGCGAGGGCTCATCATCAAGCAGCTGACGACAGTTTGAAGGGCAAGAGGTTCAGCCGCGTTTCTATTTAAGATGTGCACTCCTGCGTTGGCCTTGCATTGTTTCGTGTTCTTCACCCCTTTCCTTCCACTGCGCCACACCCCCACACACGCACGCATGCTCGCGCGGCACGCGCACACACAAACAACCGCACAAGTGTGGCCGGTTCGTGCTGCAGTGAAGTTGCTGTCGGAGACCTCAGTGCAGCAGGCTGGAGGCTATCCACCGATTACAAGCTTATTTTCATGTGCTTTTGTTCTTTGCAATATTCCGAGTACACTCAACCCCTTGCAATTGCTTACAGCATCTGTAGTGGGGCTTGATATAACCTGCGCGCGCCCGCACTCAAGTCAGCCGACTGCACTTCTGGATTGACAATGGGTAGATGGGGTAGGTGTGTAAACCAACAGCATGCTTGGATTGAACGAAAGGTGATGGCCAGATAGATTGGAACCCAGGGCTGAAACAAATAAGATGCAACAGGTTATGCAACAGTCACTTTTAGTTCATACCTCCGTATGCCAAAGCCTTGCAACGCATTTGTAAGTCATGGGGGTAAGTACCTGAGCATGCTGGTGATCTGAAGGAGGGGATTCGCCACTTTGAGCCAGTTGGAACTTTTAACCCCTTGGCTCACCCTTAGAACCTGTGATCATTGGCCAAAGGTTCGAGCCAATGCGCACATCCTAAAAGTGACTTACACGGAGCAAGCATGTGCTCCTGTCAAGCTTAGGGGAGCTGATGAAAAAGAGCGCAGACTATAAAGAGATGCTTCAACCGTATCGCCCAACCTGCCCGAACTCCACCACAGCAGGATGTTTTTCAGAGCGCCAGGCTCTCCCGCAGATTTCTTCGACTTTAAGGGGTGTCCTTGACAACTATTTGCGTTTTTTGGGAGTCTTTCAAGGTAGGGAGGTTCTGCCAGGCCATAAATGTCCAACCTTGGGGGTTGCCTTTCGGCCTGAGGCAAGTGGCCTGTGGCTGGTGGCGGTTTCGTAGAGCTGCCGGCGGGATCTCGGAGCTGCGCTCATGTGCTGGAGCTGCGGTGGGTGGGCTACCGCCACTGCACCCTTGCCGCGCTGGGCTGTTTTTCCTCGGAGAGTGTATCCAGTTGCCAAGTGGTGCCCTTCTTTCCTTTTTTTGGGAAGGGTTTCCCTTTAAAGTAAACCAACCAAAAAAGGATGCCTTTTTTTTCCCACGGCCGCTGGGCATCGAGTGTAGCATGGGGGGTTGAACCGGGTGACCTGAACCCACCCCATCCGCCTTGGAGGCTGGGCTTCTAAAATTCTTGCTGGATGATTGTGAGGGTCCAGTTAGTTTTCCCCAGTCCTTTTCCTTTGGGAGCACGTTTTTGCGTTCTATGTGGGGGAACCCTGTTCATTTCAAGGTGGGCCAGGAAACCCGGAAGGTTATTCCCGAACACCAACAAGAAAACGGGTGTGTCTTTTGCAGACCATCTTTTTCATTTATGGCGTACGTACCTTTTGAACCCGGATATGGCCAGAACTGCTTCCTGTGACAGGGTGTTTCCACTCTTCATTGCGTCCTTTTGCGTACCGGGCAAGGGGTTAAGTGGTACTGCCTGCATTCGCCTTGGCTAACCACTGCATGTCAGACTTCCGCTGGAAGATAGGCCTTGAACAGACGGGGCTGCGCGAATCAAAGGAAAGCCAAAGCAATTGGCTTGATTGCTTTTCTGTTGGATCCTTTTCGACTTTAACTTCTTGGGACATCAAGGGTTCTCCCTGGGTTAATGATTTTGACTGTTTCGGGTTATCAAAGTCAGAAAGTGGAGTCGGTTGTTTCCCTTTAACCCAACGAACGGGGGTGACTTTGATGGGGGCCCACAAAAGTTCCGCTTTTGTTCCAAGGGGTCAGCAGCCATGGTGATGGTCCGCTGATGTTCGGACGGTGTCAGGAGGCTTCCCCGAAGGGCAGCTCAGCGGTTTCGATTCGGTGAGGGCTTGGGCGAGACCCCCTCACAGCTTAGCAGAGTTGGCCTATACTGCGACTTCTTCTTTTTTAAGACCGGGGCAATGGCTGTGGAGAGGGGGGTTTGCATTTGTTTCTACTGTATGTTTTTTTTTTTTTTTTCAGTGGGCCCTGCGTCCTGTGCATTTTCCCTCGGAGGGCGCTTGATTTGATCCGCGACTTGCACGGCCACGGCCCCGCCCCCAACGCCATTCCTGTCGCAGGCTTCGAGCTGCTGTTGCTCATGGCATTCACCAGCGTGGACCTCGTGGTTGTTCTCATCGAGCCCCTGGGCGCTCGTTCTTTTCCTCTTCTTTTTTGTTCCTCCTCTTTTCGGCTGAATGCCCCGGGCCGCGTTTTTTCGGGGCGATGGCGCGCATTGCCTGGGTCAGGGACGCTTGCGGATTGCGCAAGTTTCGGTGAAGGGCCCTGTGGCTTGCAAGGGCGGGTGGCGCCTTCTGGTTGGAAAGGGACGCAAGTTGGCGCCACATCCACAGCACTTCAAATGGAAAGAGTCAAAATGGATAATATCCATTTTGACTCTTTCCATTTGAAGTGCTGTGGATGTGGCGCCAACTTGCGTCGCTCCATGACATGATATCCATGACATCCACATTCGAAGTCAAAATGGAAACAAGAGAGAGAGCCAACATCCTTTGGGCCCTCCTACTTTGACACAACCAAGATCTCAAAGGTTGGGCCGTGGGCGAGTCTCCCCATTTCGCCGAAGCACCTAGGTGGAGAGGATTCTTTTTGGAAGGTGTTGAAGACTGACGGGGGACGTGTATGAGTTCGGAGGAAAGATTTTGATGTCTCAAAGTTAGGGTATCTTTCCTTCTGGCTCTTCTTTTTGATTCCCCCCCCAAATAGAATTGATTTACCAATTTTTGTCGACACTAGGAGAGGATCTTAAAGACGGTTCGCTGCTTGAGTTGCAAGGAACTGCAGCGGACCTTGCCAGTTCACCGTGGGTCTTGCGTGTGTGTACCTTTCCAGTATCCTGCAGATGCGTGCTTCTTTCCCACCTCGCCTCAGAGTCAGGAGCTTGGGCAGGCGTGAGGTATACGACAGGATCACGCACCTAGACCTGAGACCCTCAATGACCTGCCACTTCCCGCCTGGCATGGCCCCTTTTTAGATCATTCCTTGAACACTATGAAGCTGGCTGCAAGGATTGCCTGGACTCTGATGATCGAGTTCTGCGCCAGCTGCCGGTGTTTCTTTTGCCGCTTGGACCATCAGAGTCATCGAGATGTCCAGCAGGTTCCCCTTAGTGACTGCTGTCCAAGAATTTCCCGAGACCGAAGAAAGGATGGATGCCTTATCCATGGGAACAACTGCACACCATGTTTGTCGCGGCTTATTGTCATAAAAAGAGTGGGCGTCTTTTTGACATCATAGTCCCAACAGCAGGTGCTACATATTTTGAGACTCCCCGCTCCAAAAGTCCCCCAGCTTTTGGCTTTGCTGCTGCTTGAGCAGGGCTGCTTAAAAGATCTCCATTTTGCAACCATTTGAACATGTGGCTTTTTCCGCCAAAATGCAGGGAAACCACCATTTACAGGGCAATGTTCAGGTGTATAATGTACGGATTCCTGTTGAGGCAGTCTTTGGAAGGGCTGCTGCGGCATCTGCGGCTGGCTCTGCTGCAACTGCTGCGCCTCCGCCTGCTGCGCCATGCCTCTGGTCCTGGTGGTGCTCTACCTGGTCTTCGGCCTCGTAGGCCTGAGCCCAACATCCGGGGAGAACTGGAGTTCCGGCGGGGGGGGGGGTGTGGGGTGGGGGGGGGGCTGGGGGAGTGGGTGTGGGGTGTTTGGTTGGATCCAAGGTTCTTAGTTGTTGCATTTATGTGTGTGTGTGGGGTCTTTTCTGGGGGGCAGGGGTTGCAAGGTTCCTTCAACATCAATCCTGTCAGGTTGACAAGAATGCCAGATTCGGCGGTTTCCCTTGTCACGGATTACAATATTGCGGATTGTATTAGAGATCCCCCTCATTTTGAATGACCTGAACGGAACCCAATTTGTCAATTGGACCTATGCGACTTGATGATTCAACCACCGGTGACTTGTAGGATATGCCCCTCTGGGCCCAAAGCCCTCCCAAGGGCTGTTTCAGGTGACCTCCCAGGTTGGATGTGGAGGGGCCAGTTGGTGGGTCGAACGTGCCAACAACCAACCAATGCCTTTCCTGAAAGGAAGGCCTGTACAAAACCCCAACGTTTGTGTTGCAGCTTCTAAGACTCAACTATCCCTCCGAAAAATGATTGCAGGGGGGTTCACCCCTTAAAAGAGGTCTGATTGGTTGTTGGCAACAACCAACCAGACCCCACATCGGGTCCTCTTGGCCCTGTCAGCTGCCGGGGTCTGCGGTGTGCTGCTGCTGTTCGGGCTGGGCACCCTGCTGCTTGGGGTGACCATGGCGGTGCGGTACCTGCTCATCGCGGTGAGCGGCTGCTTCTGCAAGGCGCGGCCCTACTAATGTTGACCCCGGGTGAAAGCAGAACCCCGGTCTATTAGTATTGGGGGTGAAATCCCCTAAAGTGATTTGAGCCCCCACTAAAACCAGAAAAACACCCATCTGGGTCCACGCTTGGGACCACAGCCATCTTTGCAACCTAAACTGGTGAACAAAGACAGATATGTGAATCCTGCTGTTGCATGGGTTGAAACATTGACCATGCAACTGTGAAGGGCCTGGAGGGTGGGGATGCGACACATCAACTTTGGCCGTTGGTTTATTGCCATCGATTTCTTGCGGCTTGAAACATCGTAGACTCCAACATTTTGTTTCAACCACCAAGCCTCCGCCCGATTTGGACGTTGGAGCGGTGCTTAATCTCGCAGAATCCTTTCTTCGTGGCCTGAGCCGACCCCAATAGTCCCCAGAATTAGCTCCCCTCTTTGTTGTTTTTTGCTTTTTGGGGCTCCCTTGGCTTTCCACTAGCCAGGGAAAACCAAAAAATATGCTGGGGTCCTAATTCCAGCCAAGAAGAATCCCTAGACTTCGCCCAAGTTGGTATGCGGCGAGTCTGATCCAAAACGCCGGCGGGCCAAGAGTGCGCACAAGCCACCGCAAGCACATGAACGAGCTTGTCTTCCTACTTTTGTCCAAAGCCAAAGCAGGGTCCGAAACCCAAGTGCCTAAATCAATCTTGGGATTTGCATGTTCAGCTCTTAACCCCTCACTGGCCCTCCACATGTTTCATAGACCCCTAGGGGGTCAATGGGGGGAGAATCGGGAGGGGATCCGTGGATAGCCCTCAGACAAGCCACGGATAAGCCTCCCCATAGCGTCCATGAGCATTTGGGCGCCGAAACTTTTGCATCTTGTGGAGCGGTTTGCACAGGCAATGCCTAACCCCTAACTACCCTGCAAAATAATGGCATTGCCAACCGTCATGTGGGAGTGAAAATCCGCTGTTTCGTTGTCTTCGTCCAGGCCATGCTTTTTGTTCCTTCAACTGGACGCAACACACGCCTTTTCGCTCGAACTACTCACAAAAGGGGAAGTTACCCCAGTGTAGTTGGCCATATCTTTGTTTCTTTTCTGGACGCTGTGGCTTCCAATAAGGGCCTCGAATTGGGTCTCAAAACCCAGAAAATGGGCAGCTGCCCTTTTTGCGTTGGTTGACGGGTACCCTTTCAAGGTTGGTGTAAACTGGCTGAAGGAAACCCAACTTCATCTCCCAGCAATGAAGGAGGAACCCCAACTTCCATTTCCTGAAATGAGTACGTTTTATTTCCCCCTGTTGGTTTCAAAAGGATTCGATTTCACTACCGGACATGTGTTCCCCTTTTTCTTTTGCAGGGGAAGAACAAGCAAATAGAGGGAACCCGAAGAACTCCGTGGGAGCGTGGTTTTTCTCAGGGCCAAGCCCGCATCCGCGTAGCCATCGACTTGGAATCGAGGCGTTGCGGCCTACCTCATGGCTGGACATGGCCATGCTGCTCTATCCCTTCCCCCCAGGCGCTGGGCGCTGGGCTCGGGGGGAAAGGCACTTTCCAGGTGAAAATTCAGGTGGAAATGCGTTTTTTGTTTTGTTTTGTTTTTTGGAGGGGTTTTCCAAGGCATTTTTCCCTTATATAAAGGGAGTGAGGGAAGCCACCAGTAAATTGATCAACCTTTGACCTGGGGCAATCCAGTAACCCCCTGTGCTTGTTGGGGTTCTCAACCTGTCTCTCGGGAATGTGGAGTTCCTGTCGGATACCACAGTCCAAGGCTGAAGGGAGGCCGGGAGGTTTTGGTCGAACGCTTGTCCATTCTGTGGTGGAGTAGGTCAGCAGCATCCAGGCCATTTTTTTGCTCCCCCCACCCCTGGAAACGCCTGGAAACGACAAAATCAGTGGAAAGAAGGGAGAAAAACAGGTGATGGGCATCTAAGCGCTTGGAAGCGAATCCTGCAGAACTTTTCCAGCTGGACATTGATTGAGGCGCAGCACTCTGACACCACCTCCACCGCCACCACTCACAAAAAGCTTTTGCATCATGTTGCAAAAGCTCTTTCTTGCTACCCAGCTTGGCGGGTTTTATGGTATTTTCTGACTGACTGACTAAACGCGTGCCGGTTTGCTGGTGCTTGATTCATCCAATTGCTTGAGAGCAGCGCTGCATGCCAGGATCACCCATTTTTAACTTCCATGATTGGAGGACGCATGCTACACTTCACCGTGGAGTTTGCTGTGTACAGCACCTGTACATGACAGAAAGGACACAATTGTTGGAGATGCCGGCCTTCATGAGTTGGAAAGGCCTCTTCCAAGGCTTGATTATCGGTAGTTCTGTTATGCAGAAGCTTTTTTCTCCCGGGGCTGTGCAAGTTGTATGAGAGAGCTGGAAGGCATAGCCAAACAATCAGTAGCAGCAGCAGGGCCGGAAACCGAAACCAGGTTGAAGGGCGCCCGGGGAAGGAGGTTCGAGTGCGGGGGTTGCGAGTCTGAAAGAAACAGCGGGCGCGTGACGGGAACCCAAGAGCTGCCTTGACGCCAAACCCGCACAGCAGGCTTTGTGAATAAGTTTCTGGCGTCCACCGCTTTGGGAGCCTCAGCGTGGCCTGGCCACGTTTGGCTAGCTCTTTAGTCTCTGCTTGCCTTGCGCCTCTGTGGCCCATGTTTGTTGGTTCGAATCTTCACTAGTCTAGAGGCTGCTGTATTGCCCTGCACCTTTCTTTAAGACACATCTTAGGCACGCACGCCCTTGAGCCACATTATGTGAGTGTCTTTTTAGGCCACGTGATGACTAAAGGGGCAGTGCAGGGAACCCTGTGTGACGGCCAGGGCATGAACTTCAAAATTCCACTTGTCCGCAGTTTGCCCCGAATTGCCCTTTCATTGATGCTCCCCTTTCCATTGGCGGCCTCAGGCAAAGGGTCGATTGCGACCTTCGTTTGGGTTCATTATGACGCCACCAAGGGACTCTCCCCACATTCATTTAGGGCATGGTGTGTCAAAACAGGGCGCTTTCTGTGATAACCGGCAGTGACAGGGTCAAGGGCATGGCGCATGGCATAAAACAGGTGCGTCACAGAAAGGATCGCCTCTTTGTTTCTCTGTAGCCCATTGTAAACAGGAAAAGCCCACCACTTTGTTGGGGGTCCAAATCCTAAAAAGGACCCAACAGGCCGGCCTCTCGGTTGCTCCGCTCGCCCGGCGCGCGATCGAGCGCGAGGCTCGCCGTACTTTGCCACCGCGAAGGCGGTGAGGAACCCTTTGAGCCGCGGCGCGTCGCGTCGCCACGGTCGTTTTTTTTTTTGGATCGCGGCGGGCGGGGGGAGACCCATGTCACTTCTGTGATGCTAAAACAAAAAGTCTGCCTGGTGGATTTGTGGAGTTGTTGGAACGACCTGGTGGAGCTAGCGGTATCTTTTGGGATTTCATATTCCTCAGCTCTCGGCTTCCATGTTTCACAGTTCAAAAGTCTTCTTTGCGAAAGCTTCGCTCATTGCTCGGCAATCATCAGAATCCCGCTCAGGAACGATCAGGAGAGGCAAGAGGATTTCAAGCTGCAGGAGGACTGGCCGGAGGGATTAGGCTCTCATGTCATGGAACTCTCCCATCTGCCAACATGGAACTTGACGGAGGGCCCAATATGGACGAGTTTCTTACGGCTGAAAGGCGATTCCCTTGTATTTGAAGTTTTTGGACCCAGGAGTGGGGAAACCTTTCAGAATCCATCCATGCCCCAAATGTTGCCTCCTCTACTGGGAGGGGGGACGCGAATATGGCACGCGCTCGGCAAGGTCAACCTCATGGGCATTGTAGGGGCCACATGTTCTCCTGTCCTGCAGCTTGAACATGTGTAAGAAGTTGACTTCAACTTTGACCTGTAGATGTTTTGTGCAAATGGTTTCCCCCAACAACCAACCCAGCAACAAAAAGGAAGCATCACGCCTTGGGTGAAGGCCACTGTGCGGTTTGTTTGCGGCCCAGCATTCAACAAGTGCTCCTTGGAAATGATCAGGTAACCCGCCAGGTTGGTGGTTTGGATTGGTGGGACTGGGGTTTGAACCGGTCCGTTCCGTTGCACCACCAAACCACCGATCCAAACAACCGATTGGAGGGGTGTCTGAAATGAGGTGTTCGCCCGTTTCAAACAGCGACACGGTCTCAGGATGCAACTGTCACATAAAGCGCGTGTATGTTTGGAAGCAAGTTTTGCAATGCTTGCAAGGGGGCAAGCAGGGCGAGAAAGACTCATACCCCTCCAAGAAAACAAGAACAAAAGCAGGAGTTGGGATGTAGAGAAACGACTCGACAATAGTGATTCTGCAAAACCAGGGGCAAGCAAGGGTTCAAGTCGGCAGGCAACTTGTCATGTTGGCAGATAGCATCTCACATTTTACCAGGCGATGGTGCTGCCAGTGCTAACGTTCCTTGGTCTTATTGCTGCTGGCCTGCTCCCGCGCACATGTCAGGCCATCTGTACTGTAGTACTGGGTCCCCCAGTAGTGCCCTTTTGCCCTTTTTTGGGGGAGGGTCCCCCTACTAAAAAAACTACAGAAGAAAGGGTACCCGTTTTCTAACCTCTCGACTGGA